TCCAGGGAACAACTTTGGCCAAGCCAGAGTCGGGGAGAGACTGAGAAGGACCCCACCTGGGCCTCAGAGCCAGAGCTGTCTCACTCTGTATTTTTCCGAATACCCTTTGTCTTTGGGGGCACCAAGCTGAACCTCTGACCTTTTGGCAACTCTGCACCAACCCAGGGCAGCGCGTTCAATAGGCCCTGGTGGCTTCCTCACCGGACCCTTTCTTCTTCCCCCCACAACAAAACTGCCCCAAGTGTCATGGCCATCGGGGAGGAAAGGAACACAGGCCGAGGAGTTGGGAGATAGGTTCTGGTCCTGCCTCAAGCTGATCACGGTGTCATTAGGCCTCACTGTCTTCCTCAGTAAAATGGTCTAGTAAAACCTACCGTCACCTCCTTACCAGCTACTCTGAAGACCAAAGGAGACAAAAGAGTAAGTTCTTAGAAAACAAAAAGCACTGCTCAAAGTTAGAGATTTACAGACGAAATCTCAATTCGAGACCAAAGGATATCTTATTTCTTCTCTGTGTGGCTACTTTTATCTCAGTTCTTCTTCAAGCTCTTTCTGAAGGGACAGACGGGAGACACATTAGACTATTTTAAACACAGAACACTAAGAATTAACGTCACCAGCCAAGGCTAAGGAAAAGGCCCCTGGCATTAATGATTCCAGCAGGACTTCCTCCAGGAGAACTGACCCTGGTTTCTGTCACAGATATTTTTCCCTTTCCAGGCCCAGCAAGAAACAACTAATTCACCAGATGGTGTTCCCACCGTGGGCTGGTGGTCATCCTGGATTCTCCTCAGCCTGGGGCCCAGCTTTGTCACCTCTATCACAACCTCACAGAGTGGCTTAGTTCAAAGAGCTTTCTCTTTTTTTTCCTTTTGAGGTGGTTTTTTAAAATGCCCTAGCATTCTGGCCCCCTCACACACACAGCGTTGGTCAGGTCCCGGCCCAGGCTCACTGACACTCTGCAGAGTGGAGGACACATCGCTGGGCTGCAACCTGCAGCGGCCAGGCAGCCTAGGACAGGCCCAGGCAGAGACGGAGTCAAGGCTGTCAGACCAGGGAAGGCCTGTCTCCGTGGAAAATGTGTGCACAGTTTTAGTCCCACCCCCGCTCTGTGCCTATGACCTGAGTCTGCAATGTGCTCTTGTCTTCTGGCCTTCTCAGGCTGGCAACACAAGGGCACGGGTCGTGGCTTCTAGTTCTGATTCCCCCACTCCCCCCAGCAGCAGGGCTTGAGGTGGGAGGAAGGCGAAATTGCCTCCTCCAACTTGGGCGGCAGGATGGCAGGGCGGAGAGGGCCCAATCTGGGAATCCGGGTCTGGGGTCTCGCTCTCCTCCTGCCAACCACCAGCTGTAGGTTCTTGGGCAAGCCCAGTGCCTCCCTTCCTCAAATGCAAACATGGATGGGATGGTACAGCCTGCCCTTCCTCAGGCACAGATACAGAGTAAGGACTGAGCCAGACCGTGGATGTGAAAATGCACAGTGAGCCTTGGGCGGGGGGGTACCTCCCATGCTGTTTCTGAGTCGGGACGTATGGGGGCTTGGTCCCCTGGCCTCCAGCACTGGCCTCTAGCAACTCCTAACCTCCCCTCCATCTTCCTTCTCCCAGCCCACCCTGGTCACCCAGACCCTCATCACAGACTCCAGGTTCATCTGAGTCTGGAGGAACCCGAGAGCTCTTCATGGGAAGACAAGGTGAGAAGGCAGCCATATGCAAGCGGGATGAGAGTGCTCAGTGGAAACAAATTGGTAAGAACCTTCATCTTGGACTTTCCAGCCTCCACAATGTGAAAGAACAAATTTCTGTTGTTTAAGCCATGCGGTTGTGGTATTTTGTTGTGGCAGCCCCAGCTGACTAATGCACATATGATGGCCTCTCCCCTCTTGAAGTTCCGGTCTCATCTGCAAAAGTGAGACAGTCACATTCTGTGAGGCCAGCAGGATCCTAACGCCAAACCGAACAAAGACATAAGAGACCAAGATCTCTCATGAATCTGATGCAAAAATCCTCAACAAACCAAATCTAGCAACATAAAAGACACACCATGACCGAGCAGGATTTATCCCAGAATACAAGGTTGGTTTAATACCTTCAATTAAAATATCATACCATATCAATAGAATGAAGGGCAAAAAACAAGATAATCATCCCAACAGACATGGAAAAAGCATTTAACAATATTCAACATCTCCTCATGAAAAAAAAACACTCAGTAAACTAAGAACGGAAGGGAACTTCCTCAAGCTGACAAAGAGTATCTATGAAAAAGCTACAGTTAACATCAGATTTAATGTGAAAGGCTGAAAGCTTTCCCCCTAAGATCAGGAACAAGAGAGGGTGTCTGTGCTAGCTACTTTTACTTAACATTCTACTGGAGGATCTAGCCAGGGCAATTAAGGAAGAAAATTAAATAAAAGACATCCAAATTAGAAAGGAAGAAGCAAAACTACCTCTATCTGCATACGACATGATCTTGTAAACAGAAGATTCTAAGAAATTCACTAAAGAAAGTATCAAAACTAATGAATTAGTTTAGCAAGTTTGCAAGATAGAAGATCAATCGTCTCTCTACATAGTAACAATTAACAAACTAAAAAATGAAATTGAGAAATTAACTCCATTTACAATAACACAAAAGCAATAAGCTACTTATGAATAAGTTTAATATAAGAAGTGTAAAACTCACACTCTAGAAACTATAAAATATCTTGTAAAAAAACAAAGAAGTCCTACATAAGTGGAAAGACATCTCACGTTATGCATCAAAAGAGTAACTATTGTTAAGATAGCAATACTTCCCAAATTGATCTGCATCAAAATCCCTATCAAAATCTCAGTTGGCTTTTTTTTTCTTTCAGAAATTAACAAGCTAATCCTAAAATTCATATGGAAATACAAGGGACCCAGAATAGCCAAAATAAGTTCTGAAAAAGAAGTCATACTTGGAGAACTCATTTTCTAATTTCAAAATTCACTACAATACTATGGTAATTAAGGCAGTATAGTACTGGCATAGAACAGGCAATCAATGGAACAGGACTGAAATCTCAGAAATAAGCCCTCACATTTACAGTCATTGGATTTTTTTAGAGATGTCAAAACAATTCAATGGGGAAAGAATTGTTTTTTCAACACATGTGCTGGGACAACTGGATATCTCCAAGCCAGAGAATGAAGCTGGATCTCTACCTCACACCATATATAAAAATTAAGATGCATCAAAGACTAAATGTAAGAGCTACAACTATAAAATCTTAGAAGAAATCTACTTACCTCTTCGAGGTAAATTCTCATGACCTTAGATGAGGCATGACACCAACAACAGAATGTGATGTATCCATACAATAGAGTATTAGCCACAAAAAGGAACAAAGTAATGATCCATGCTAGAACACGGATGAAACTTGAAAACATCATGCTGAATGAAAGAAGCTGGTCACAAGGACCACATCTGTATGATTCCACTTTTATGAAATGTCCAGAATAGGCAAATCCATAGAGGCAGAAAGTAGATTCACGGTTGCCTGGGGTTGGGGAAGGGCGAAATGGGGTGATGAAAATGTTCTGTATCTGGTTGTGGTGATGGCCACACAGCTCTGTGAAAGTACTAAAAACCATTGACTTGCACACTTTAAATAACTGGATCGTATGGTATGTGAATTCTATCTCCATAAAGCTGTTATTAAGAAGACAGCAAGAGGGTGAGACTTGACTGCAGCAGATCCCCCAGTGTGGCCCCCCACCAGGAGCATCAGTATCACCTAAGAGCTTTCCAGACCTACGGAATCAGAAACTCAGAACTGGAGCCCAGCAACGGGTTCTCCAGGTGATCTTGAAACTCACTGCAGCTGGGGACTCCCGCTTAGACGAGGTGGTCCTCAACCTTGACTATGCATTGCAATCACCTAGGGAACTGTACAAAAAAACACTCACATGCTGGCCCCCCCAAACAGACCTAGTAAATTAGACTCTCTACGGATGGAACTCAGGCATGGGAATGTTTCAAAGCTCCCGTGTGAAACGAGTATGCCGCCGCCGGGGTGAAAAGGACTGGATTAGAGAGTGAAGTCAGCCTTCTGCTCTTCAGCCTCTTTGAGAGTCTGGCCCAGGCCCAGCTCACTAAGACCACCTAGTGGCCATACTGGGGAATGGCTACCCCCACCCCACCCCACCAATCGGCCAGCAGGGAGCCCCGGGATGGGGTTCAGGGATCCCTATCCTCCCACTGCTGAGGTCAGCAGCAGCCTGGCCTCTGGAATGGGGGTGGGTGAACGTGGTAATCAGAAGATAATGTCAAGTCATCTGACTGGGCCAGAAGAGCTGTGTAGGACAGAGCCCCACAGACAGCTAATGGAGAGGCACATTTTTTTTTCTAAATAGGCTGAAATTCTGGATTTTTACATAAAATTTGTACCTTTATGGAAACCATTTCATTTTTATCATTTCATGAGTTATCCAAACTCAATTTTTTAACTGAGGAGGTCAATCTGGGGGCCAGCCCCAGCCCGCGGGCAGCGCAGACATACATAGGTCCTGAGTGGGCAGTCATGTGGCATCAGCCATTAAAACACTGAACGGCTGCCCTGCTGGTCATTAAATGGCCACCTGCCAAGCCGCTGGAGTGGCCCCATCTACCAACCTGACTCCTGCCCGGGACCCTCGGCACCTCCCACGACCCAGAACCTGAAGGGTTAACATCTGACACCACAGGGGTCAGGACAGGGCATTGGTTCTGACTGCCACATCCTTGACTGGTCCCAGGGCTGCCACAGCTGTCAAATACTCTGAACATCACCGGCACATACACCTCGTCAAGCACTCCCGAATCAAGCCAGGGTGAGTTGGGGCTGGGCGTGTTTCCATTTCACAGGTCACATCCAGAAGATGAGGAAGTAACAGAACCGATGAGGGCCCCACGGGAGCCCTAGCCACCTCACATCCAGTCAGCCACAACCTCTCTGTGCACTGGGGGAGGGACACCTGGGTCAGGGCGAGGCTCACCTGGCGGTAGGTGCAGATGATGATCTCCCGCAGGTGGTAGTGCATGGGCGTCATGGTCTCACTGACTGTGTCCAGGGCCGCATCTACCTCCTTCTTCACGCGGTGCCCGTCGGGTAGCAGCTGCACCACCCTCATCACCACCTGGGGCCAGGGGAACACAGAGAAAACCAAGGGGGGTAGGTGGGCCCGCCAGCCCCAGCAACAGGCTCACCCCACATGAAGGACAACCTCAAGGCCCATCTCAACAAGTGGTGCTGGGAAAATTAGATATTCACTTGCAAATGTAACTCAAAACAGATCAAAGATAGAAACACAGAGCTAAAACCATAAAACTCTGGGATGAAAATAGAGAGGAAAACATCATGACCTTGCATGTGGCAATGACTTCTTGGACAGGACATCAGAAGCACAGGCGATAAAAGGAAGGACACCATCAACAGCGTAAAAAGGCAACCAACAGAATGAAAGGAAATATTTGCAAATCGCAAATCTGCTAAGGGATTGATATCCAGAATATACTGAAAAATTCCCATAACTCAACAACAAAGCAAACCAAATCAAAAATGGGCAAAGAACTTGAACAGACATTTCCTCATAGAAGACATGCAGGTGGCCAATGAGCACATGGAAAGATGCTCAGCATCACTCATCATCAGGGAAAGGGGACTCAAAACCACAATAAGATGCCAAGTCACATCCACCAGGATGGCAAACTATCAGAACAGAAAACAACAAGTGTTGGCAAAAACATGGAGAAACTAAACCTCTTGTGCTTTGCTGGTGGATATGTTGCCACAGACAACAATATGGCCATTGTTTAAAAACTAAACAGGTTACCATATGATCCAGCAATTCCACTTCTGAAAGTGCAAGCAGATATCTGAACAGGTATTTGTACTCCTGTAGTTCATGGCAGCATGACTCACAATCACCAAAGGGTGACAATAACCCAAGTGTCCGCCGACAGATGAGTGGATAAACAAAATGTGGTCCATATGTACAACAGGATAACACTCAGCCTGAAAAAGGAGTGAAAGCTAATAGACCCTCAACATGGATGAATCTTGAGGACATCACGTTAAATGAAATAGACCAGACACAAAAGGACAAATACTGGATGATTCTACTTGTATGAGGTGTATGGAACAGTCAAATCCACAGAGGCAGAAAGGAGAACAGTAGTCACCAGCAGCTGGGGAGGGAGGAATGGGGAGTGACTGTTTTTATGGATATGGTCGGTTTGCGATGAAGAGAAAGTTCTGGAGACGGATGGTGGTACTGGTTGCACGACAAAGTGAATGTACTCACTGCCACAGAACCGTACGTTTAAACACGGTTGAAATGGCAAATGACATGGTAGGCACATTTTACCACAACGAAAAAAATAAAAATCTAAGACTCAGGGAATCAGCAAAAGAAGGAAGAGAGGGGTTTCAGGAGAGGGAAGAGCACATGCAGAGGCCGAGAAGCTGGGGGAGTTTGGCAAGTTTGAGGGAGCACGCAGAGGCCAGGGTGACGAGACAGCGCCGGCACCAGGGAGCCACCCGCCAGCTCTGAGCGCCACGTTCCCCGCCCCCTGTAAGACAGGGACTTTGCTGCCTACTTATGGGGTGTCTGGGCTGACGACATGCAGCAGGGGCACAATACAGGGGTGACTAAATCGGAAATGTGAGCGGCCGTCCACCCAGTGCCCTGGACTGAAATAGGGGTGGGGTGGGACAGGCCACGGCCCAGCATCAAGGTCACCAGCTCCAGCTGGGGCCCAGGCGCCTGTGAAGCAGGCGTCAGTGTCACCCAGACAAGATGTGTCAGGGGCTCCCCCAAGGCACAGAGCAGCCCAGCAGCAGGGCCAGGCTGACGGGGGTCAGTCTAGCCCCCTCTTCTCCAAGAGCCATCTGTCAGGGCCCCAGAGCCAAGCTGACCTGTGCTTTGGTTGCACTGAGATGATGAGGTGCAAGAAGGTGATATAATTAAGAGGAGCTCTGAAGATCCCCCAGACCTGCCAGCAAGACTCGCCCTCTCCCCTCACCAGGCGTCCCCGGGGGGCCCCGTGGGGTGTGCTCACCTCAAACTCGCCCTTGGTGAACTTGGCATCAGGCACACTCACGAGCTCCTCCTCGCCCACCTCGGGGAAGCCCTGGGGGAGGACAGCTGCTGGGACAGGGAGCACGTCCCTCCAGGTCGCACCCTCCCCCACGTGAGAAACCCCTCGCCGGGGCTCTGCCAGCCCCCAGGCCCTCTGCCCAGGACTGATGCGAGATGCTCCACACCAGGCACCATCCCTGTCCCACACGCTCCTGCCACAGCCAGGGTCCCCAGGGCCGAGTACCACCCTGCCCTGTCCACACGGGACGGGCCACACATACCTGGATGTGCCAGAAGGCCAGCACGGCCACCACCATGGCGGTCGTGGTCCGGCCCTGGCCACTGAGGCAGCTGAACACGAAGCCAGTGCCCGGGTCCTTGGCGAGGGCAGCCTGCAGAGCCTCGAGCAGTCGGTCAAAATCCTGGGTGGGGAGACCAGGGTCTGAGTCAGGCGGCCGGTGCTCCAGGCTGCAGACTCCCGACATGGCCCGCCCCTCCAAATGGCAACCCCAAAGCAGTGGTCCTGGGGCAGCCGGGCACAAGACGACATGCTTGTAAACAGCCACGCCCCTGCTACCTTCCCCCTTCCCCCAGGTGCGCGTACACACACACACACACACGCACCCTCCGCCAGGCAGGGTTCGAAACATGCGTATGCCACTCCCATGTGCTGTGTCCCCGGGGGCTGCGCAGGGACCCCTGGCCTGGCTGCTTGCCTGAGAGGGACCCAACCCAGGTCCCAGCCCAACAGATCACTGCAGCACGGGTCCACCAGGGGGCGACAAACAACAGGCAACCAGACCCACAGAGGCAGGAACTACAAGCCCCCGTCACTGCCTCTCACAGGCTGCCCGTCAGAAGTCCCCGCACACCCCAGGCCCAGAACCACACCCCGCACAGACACGTCACCCAAACAACCGATGCATCACACAGGCATGCAGCGACCCGCATGCAGTTACAGCTGGGCACACGCACCACGGACGTGTCCATGGACCTTAAGACACACAAACTACACAGACTTACAAAGACACAAACCTACAGAGAACACACAAACAGCCTTGGTCACACACAAGCACCCACAAAACCCCACACACATTCCACACCCCACAGTTCTCCAGACACACCTGCCACATACCCCCTGGTAAAGACAAGATGTACATCACAGATGCCAGACCAACACACCCATCACATACATGTACACACTCCACAGTGATACCCACACACACTCCAGACACGTCTCCCTCACAGACGCACATTCACCACAAACACCATGGATGTGCTCCCACACACACACCTACGACACGTAATAAGCACACAGGCGCCGAGCGAATAAACCACTTGGTGATATGTGAAGGCTCGTGGAACATGCTCCCAGTCCCTCGGGGGAGCTGCACCCACAGCCAAGGCCCAGGCCAGAGCGGGGGTGGGAGAGGGCCTCCCCTGGCTGCCTAGAGGCCAGGCCTACACAGCCCCCTCACCTGCTCGCAGGGGGCGCAGAAGTCTGGCAGGGGGATGCGGTGGTAAGTGAGGCCGGGGTAGGCCCCACGGTGTTGGGTGAAGACCTCCTGCGTGGTGAGGCATGTCTGGAACCTGCGGGTCGGTGCACCCCCCGTGCCTGGGAGAGGCATACTCAGGTGGGCCTTCAGCTGGGACTCCAGGTTCTAGAGGAGGGTGGGACAGAGGGCTCAGGCCACTGAGGCAGCCTCCAGGCCAGCCCCGAAGGCCAGAGCCTGCCATGGCCAGGACCAGTCCTGGCTTTCGGGGGCACCCCTGCCCCTTCCTGAGCCTCAGGGATCAGAGCCACACCCAGATCCAGGGAGATGGACACCGTGGGAGTCCTGAATCAGCCACTCCCTGAGTCTGCTCCTCTTGGGGCCTCAGTTTCTCCATCTTACAAGAGGAGCATGGGACCTTCTGAAGACCCTCCCAAGCCAATTTCCCAGAAGGCCTCCAAGGTAGGGGTGTGCGGAAGGCAGGAGGGCCTCACCTCAAGCTGGTCGGAGGCCATGGGGGGCCCAGGCCACCGCAGGCTGTGGGTATGCCCATCACACTCCAGCACGGCCTCCTCCCTCAGGTTGACCCACACGACATGCCGTAGCTTCCTCTTGGCATCAGTTAGGTAGGCCAGGATACTCTCCAGGGCCTGGGGGGAGACAGGAGGGCCATCAGTGAAAGGGCTCAACCATAACCCCACTCAGCCCACAAGTGGACGGAGGGCCCCTGGGGTGGTCACCTTGGCGCTGGGCTGGGCTGTGCCATAGATGGGCATGCGGGGCACCCGTCGAAAGTTGGCCACATCCATCTCTCTGACGGTGCTGAGTGCGTCTGGAGAGATGAGGTCGTCCGCCCCCTGTGGGGAGAGCAGCAAGCCTGGGACCCACAGCAGCTGACTGAGATTCAGAGCCCAGCCCAAGGTGGGGCAGGGCAGGGCAGGGACCAGCTCTTTACAGTTTACCAAGCACTTCTGCACACTTGGCACTTCATCACCACCCTGGCAAGGAGAAAGGCGATAGTGCCCACCCTCCAGATGAGGAACCTGAGGCTCAACAGGGAGAGGCTGGGGGCAGACATCAGAACCAGGCCTCCTGCCTCCTCGCCTGGAGCATGTGGGTTTGAGAACGAGGAGAGGGAATGACAGCGGTGGCCAAAGCTGCAAACGCTTCTTGGGGCCGGAGATCAACCCCATGTCACTCACAGGAAGAGTCTGCCGCCCCAAAGGCCGTCGTCCCTTTGTCTTCTGGGAAGGGCGGCAATGTTTAACCCAAGCCCTCAGGAATCAAGGGCCCCCCAGCCCCGGGGCCAGCCCACACCCATTCCCACTTCCCCAGCCAGCCGGCCACACTCACCAGAGAGCCCTTAGTGACGAGGTCCCCGGGGGCCACAGGCCCCGCTGAGCTCAGAGTCACAGGCAGGCGGTACAGCTCAGGATGGGCACAGAGCCAGCGGCTGAAACTGAGGGCAAAGGCCAGCGGATACTGCAGCCCGAGGCAGAGAGAGATGGGAGTTCAGGGGCACAAGGCCATCCCAAACTCTCCCAGCTGGCCCTGTGGTGGGGGAGCCCCAAGAGACATCCATCATGGTCCAGGGCAGGGAGGAGGGGGTGAGGAGACAGGACCAGGAGGTCCGAAGCAAGATCCTTCCAGGCCCCAATGCCCCAGCTAAGGGTACAGAGACTGGGGCCCAGGGGGGAGAGAGAGAGAGAGGTCGGCCCTCTCTCTGCCTGACCTGCTCTAGGACCACCACTCTATCGGGGTCTCTCCACGTCCCCCACACCCACCTTCCTCTGGAACAAACACACACGCCCCCCCTCTCCTCCCCAGTTCCACATGCCAGTCACCATGGGAGACAGGGCTGGAGGGACTCCAGGAGGAGGGGTTGTGGGTCCACTCATCCCCCGGCCACACCTGTTCGTGGAGATAGTAGTTAAACAGGATCAGGTAGAAGTATCGCTCCAGGCTCTGCAGCGCTCTCTGCCGGACACCGTGCTGGCTGCAGCTTCCCTGAGAGGAGGTGACCCAGAAGGGGGTGGGTGGTGAAGACAGGACTCGGGGCCACCCTGTCCCCATCCCCAGAAGGGCAGGAGTTAAGCCTCAGAAATCCCCAGAACACCATCTATCCCCTCCCTTTATAACTTCTGCCAGGCTGGAAATTCTTCTAAGCGTCTAACCGTTGCTCTCTGAATTGCTGCAATTAATCTGTGGCCCAGGGGAAGCAGTTGGTGACTACCCCAGAGCCACTGCTATCAACCCAGGGACCACCTCGCCCTCCGGGCCTGTGCCCAGAGACAAGCTGGGACCTCCCCTCTTTGCACCAAGCCGTACACATGCAGGGCCGTGCACAGTCGTGTTGAGGAAGCAAGTACATAAACACCCTTCTCTAAGCCAGAGGCCCTCCCTTAAGAACTGTGACCCACCCCACAAGAAAACAAAAAGACCCTCATAACAGTGCTCCAAGGGGGCCATGATTTTTACCCTTAACTTCACCAAGGTTCTGAGAAATGAACTGACTTGCTCAATCATGACGCTGATGGCAGGGAGAGCTGGATCCCCAAACAAATGTCCTAACCCCAGCCCAGCATGCTCTGGGGGTAAGGAGCTGTCAGAGAGAATCCCAAGCTCCCTCTCTCCACCTTCGGATCTCAGGGTTCACCTGCTGGGTCAGTACCACCTTCTGGAGAGCAAGTGAGATTCAGAGAGGCCCGAAAGAAAGGTCATACCCTTTGATTACATTGAACCCCATCTTTGGGAATCTAGGCCAGAGGTCAGCAAACGTCTATTTCTATAAAAGGCAGTAAATATTCTGGGGTCTCTGCTGTACCTGTCCAGCTCGGCCACTGCAGCGTGAGAGAGCCGGACGGTGCTGGACTGAATGCGCAAGACCATGTTCCGATAAAACTTACTCACGAAAACAAGGTGGTGGGTTAGATTTGGCCCATGGGTCACGGTTTGCCAACCTCTGATCTAGAGGTTTGCCAACCTCTAATTTAGGAAAAAATCCTAAATACACAACAGCTTCATTTTCATGAAGTTATCTTGATGCAAAAGAATTTACATTGATAAGGAACTGGAGGCAACTCAACTGTCCAACCAGAGGGGCGTGGTTAGTAAACCACGACAGGTGACATCCCAGGGACATCTGCTCCATGCAGACTCCCTTCTAAGAGCTTCATGGCTCTTATCTCAGCTGATCCTCACAACTCTATGGGTTGGTTATTATTCGTGGCTCCCTTTTTACAAGCGGGGAAACTGAGGCACGGAGCAGTGAAGCAGGTGACCCACGTCCACACACGTGTAGGTGGCAGAGCCAGGCCTGGACCCCACGTGGTCAGGGCAGAGGCCACGCTCTTAACCTAACAGGCCAACGATGGCTGAAGTCACACAGCCTGCAAGAACGGCGATGTGGAAAGCAAGATTGGCACGGGGATGCTAAGAAGGGCTATAAGCAGGCTACGAACGTGCCCTGGGGCGCCCGAAACAAGAACATCACAGACAAAGCACGTGGGAGGAAGGAAGCTGGCCCCAAATGCTCCCAGCGGCTGTGCTGGCATGATGGGTGACTTTCTGCCTTCTCCAATTTCTCAATTTTCCATACTATACTATTGCTTTCAAAAGATGTTTTTTTAAAGTGTCGAAGAAGAGGGGCGCCTGGGTGGCTTAGTCGTTGAGAGTCTGCCTTCAGCTCGGGTCCTGATCCCAGGGTCCTGGGATCGAGCCCCGCATCGGGCTCCCTGCTCCGCGGGGAGCCTGCTTCTCCCTCTCCCACTCCCCCTGCTTGTGTTCCCTCTCTCGCTGTGTCTCTTTCTGTCAAATAAATAAATAAAATCTAAAAGTAAATAAACAAATAAATAGAAAATAAAGTGTCGAAGGAGAAAAAGTCTCTGCAGGCCTTAGATTCCTTCCATGCACTGTGCACACTCTCAAGACAAGGCCTCTCCCCAGAGCTGAGGGACAGGGCTGCTGAGACAGCCCAGAGCCCATCACTCTTCCAGAAGCAGCAGGCTGGACCAAACCCCGGCCTACCCAAGGAAACAGCAAGGGACTGACTCGCGGAGGGGAACCAGGAGCAGTCTGGGAAGGCTCTGGATCCAGAGGCCCCCGGCACCCTGGCCAGCAGCCCCTTCCTCCATCCTGTTTATTCTGCAGCAAGGGGAGCTGGCCAGGGAAAGTAAACTTTCCCTCTTCCTTGTCCATCTTTCCTGCAGGCCCAGCTCCTCTAGCTCCCCTTCCTCTGAACGCCTCTGCTCTCTGGGAGAAGCAGCAACCAGGAAAAGTCAGTCAGAAAGAAGCCAGTCAAGAGGTTTAACAAAACGAGGTCGCAAGACTCAGAAAGCAGACCCTCTCCAGGCCTCACCTGGGCTGGGCTCTCTGGCCGGGGGCCTTCCAGCTTCCTCTGGGGCTCCAAGATGACCTCCTTCAGGTCATGCAGCTCGGCACAGGCGGTGATGGCTCTGTCCACCTGGTGCCCGCGACCAGGGCACGGAAGGGAGGGGGAAGAGGGCCATAAGGCCAAGCAAAGATGGCGGAAGCGGAAGGGAAGAGAAAGGGAAAGGATGGTTTGTCAAAAAGGGGGCAGTGCAGGGGAGGAAGAGACCCCACCGGCGGAGGAGCGCACGCCCCTCCACGGCCCCTGCCCCCAGCCCCCTGGCTCACCTCGTCCACCATCTTCCTCCCCTGAGGCACCATGTGGAGAAAACTCTGGATCAGCTGGAGCTGCTCCAGGGGCAGTGGCTTGGTATGCGGGGGGACAGCCCTGACAAGGAAGGGGTCAGTAGCATAAGCAGTACGCCCAAAGGCCTCTACCACCACCCCCCTGTTGACATTTCCATTCACATGGCCGCTGAGGGGCACTGGACTACAGTCTCCAAGTCTTCCTTCCCATTCAGGTTGGGGGAAGCAATGGGTATTTTCCCCGTAGGAAAACTGAGGCCCAGAAAGGTCAAGTGGCTTTTTTCCGCATTACTCAGCAAATCTGTGGCAACCCAGGAAATGAACCCCACATGCTCCACCTCCAGCTCTAGCCCTGGGCTCCTGACATGTCCCCAGCACTCTGGCAGCCCTACCCCCTCCTCTCCTCATCCCTGCGGTTCCCTGGGACACTCACTCCGGCCTTGAGGCAGCCCTGCTGTGGTGAAACAAGATGAGAGTACCCAGGGTCATTCCCAGATTGGTCCTGCCCACGCCTGTCTGGCAGCTGAAGAGGAGAGCAGGGGGAGGCCCGTGGGCATCTCGGAGCTGCAGGAGGCTGGGGGTTTCCTGGGAAAGACCATGACCGTCAACAACAGCGTGCCCTGGAAACCCTCGGCCGGGACCAAGTCAAGGGAGGGGGGTCATGACATCGGCCCATCTGCACCCCGCAGTCTTTGGCAAGGGGGGCCTAGACAGGTGGCTCAGCCGCTTTTGCCAAACTTCAAAGCCAAATGTGCTCCATCTGCCCCAAGGAGCATGGCCCTGCCTCCTTCCCAGGCCCTGGGGGAGCCCAACCAGCTGGTCCTGGGAGTGAGACTGCTCTGAGGGGACAGGCCTGTATTTGACATTGCCGTGAGATGCAAATTAAATAAGGTGGCCTCCCACAGGGGCTGAGAAAGAAACACCACCAGTCCTCAGGAAACACCAGCTCAAGAGGCTATGGATAAGAAATTTTTAGCCCCAGTAAACTTGATGTCTAGAGAGGTCAGGTGATTTGTCCAAGATCACACAGCAAATTAGCAGCTGAGCCTACCCAGAGTCCAGGCCGTCAGACGGTCAGTGCTGAGCTCTGTCATCAGAGAACGTACAAATATACACCCCCCAACACACACACACACACACACACACACACACTCACACATTCCACGTCTTACACAACACAGAAGGAAACCTTCCTCTGAGGAAAGCCAGAGGCCACACTCACCCTTAGCATCACCCTGGAGACAGGGCCTACTAGACCCAGACCCGCTCTCCAGGCTCCTGTCCCTACTCTGTGCTCGCACCACCCACCACCTCCTGTCCTGACTTACCCGGAGGACACTCACAAAGACATCAAACTGGGCTTCCAGGGGGGCCCCTTGCTCTGGCAGGGGCAGGCGGTGGTACCTGCCAGGTGAGGCAGAGAGACCCATCAGGCAGGCCACACAGCCCGGGCATCCCCCACCCCTGCATTCCTGTGGGAAAGATGGGTGTGGGGAGCTCAGCCCAACCTGCAGACGGTGAAACACCCAGCTGGGGAGCAGGGCCAGAGAGCAGCCCTGCCCAGCACACTGGCATCCACGCGGCCCAAGTCATCTGCTGTCGCCGGGTAGGACTGGCGCTTGGTACCTGTAGGCAGGCTGCAGGAAGAGGGGCCGCTTGTACACCTCCTCGGTCACGTGCACATCGTCCTCGCCCCGGATGGCCACAGCGTGGGGCTCCCCCAGCAGGTCCTCGATGTTGTGGTAGACGTGGTACGTGTTCTCGCTCAGCTGGGCAAAGTCATGGATCTGCATGGAGGAGTGGGGGCCAGAGGACCATGCCTGACCTGCAGGCCCCTCCTGGCCTTCCTGGCCGAGCTCTAGAGGGAGGAGACCACAAAGAGGCCACGGACAGGCTGCTCTTCCTCCAGCGGGGAACCATCTGGCCAGAGGTGCTCTGTGCCCTGGGAGTCCTGATGGGATGGAGGTGGCCAGCGGCCCGAGGGGGCCACCTATGCACAAGATGACATGGCCCACACTGGGGCCAGGGAGGAAGCGTCCTGCACTGTGGGCAGCAGGGGTCAGCTAAGCCATCAGACTCAGGGACGGGGGGAAGTTCAGTCAGCTGGGTGCTAGAGGAGGCGAGGCCCCAAAGGGAGATGGGAGACAACCAGGCTCCTGCCCGTGGGAGTCTCTGGGGGCACCGCGACGGCACCCTCCACGCACACATCTCCATGGTGTGTCAACAGCCTCAGAAACCTTGAGAGGCCCCCCGGCAGCGGAGGGGAACAGAGGCACCTCAGAGACAGACAGAGGCCCGTCGAGAGAAGTGCCTCACCCAGGCCTCACAGCCCACAGAGGGCTGACCCTCAGTGTCGGGGCTCCTAGTCTAACGCTCCCTTTCACTCCACTAGGCACCTGCTAAATAAGGATGCTGAGTGCGGAGGAGGAGCGCAGGGTGGGAAAGGGGCAGAAGCAAACAGAGCCAGGAACAGGAAGGTCTTCCCCTAGCTTCCCGTGAGCTGGCCTTGCATCCAGCTACTCGCCCAAGCAGGGCAGAAGAGTTGGTGAGTACAGGCTGGTGAGAGCAAAGTTGGGCTGGGGGCTAGGGTCCCAACTCAGCCACCCACGGCTTGCCAGGGAGGGGGGGCCTCCACTTACGCCAGTGACCCTCACCTCTTTCCGGATGGCCAGCTCTAAGCTCTCTGCCTGGATCCCAGGTCCCAGGCCCTGGAGGTTCTCATGAAGATTCTGCTTATCTCGAGGTGTGTAGGGCACGAAGTCCTCCTCAGCACGCAGAAACAGCACGGGCTCCTCCCTCACACAGAAGATGATGCACTCCTGCCAGGAGCCAAAGGAGGAAGAAACTGTGCCCACTACCCAGCACGGAGACCCAACCTTCTGCCTTACCTCTGTGCCTTTGCACAGACCGGTCCCTGCTCTTTGAGCGCCTGTCACCCCCACCCTGTCCCTGCAACATGAATCCTACCCAATAAGCAAAGCTCAGTCCAAATACCACCTGCTCCTGACTCTCCCTCTTCTCGGGGCCAACAGCCCTTTGTCTGAAGCTCATGGTGTTGATTCCTGCTTCATCCTAACATGATCAGTGACTACATCTCCCTTCGTGGACTACAGGTTCCTTACAGGGCGAACCATGTCCTAGTCACTTTCACATCTCCATTATTGCAAGCACGGAATGCCAGATAAATCAAGTGCTTGATAAACACTGGGGGAAGAAATGAATGCCTGCCACCACCATGGAATCATTCATTCACTGAGCACCTTACACACAGAGAGATGTGGGCAGACCCTTCCCCGTGGAACTTGAAGTCAGCCTGGGAAGAGAGGATCCGCCCAGAACTAACACCCACCCCACCCTGGTTCACTCAGGGACTCTCCAGCTAAACCCCAGGTCAAACCAGATGCGGGCTGCAATCAGATGGGACCCTCAGCCTCTGTCCTGCAGACACTCAAAACCCCGCCTCAGCATCAGGCAAAAAAGAGGAGTCATTAAAAACAGGCATTTAGGGGCGCCCTGGGTGGTTCAGATGATAAAGCATGTGCCTTCAGCTCAGGTCATGATCTCCAGGTCCTGGGATCAAGCCCCACGTCGGGCTCCCAGGTAAGTGGGGAGTCTGCTTCTCCCACTCCTCATTTGTGCTCTCTCTCACTCTCTCAAATGAATAAATAAAATCTTTAAAAAAAAAACAAAAACAGGGATTTAGAGTTCAGACGCCTAGTTTGGGTCTTAGGACACCACTCCAAAGCTGTGCCACTCATCCTCTCTGGGCCTCGGTCGGTGTCCTCCTCTGTGCAATGGGAGGAACTGCCCTGCCTTCATAGGGCTGACACAAGGCCCTGTGTCTGCTGTGGTCATCATGCTGTGCCTTTCTTGCTATGACCTGGACCCTCTTGTCACCCTGTCCCCCTTCTCACTTCCCCAAGGTTCTCAAAGTGGGGTGTATGAGGGGCTTCTGACCTGGGCCCCCATGTCCACACACGACAGGGAAATAAAAATTGACCCAGAATTTCCCAACCATGCCGACCACGATGATCATTGTGGCATTTAAGGCCTGCAGAGCCTGGTCTGGGTCCCCAGGCACCCTCCCCATCATGTGGCCAGGCCACTCCCAGGAGGAGCCCCTTTGCCAGATTTGGGGGGCTATGAGACCCTGCCCGGAAGCAGCCCTGCTTACCTTGTGTCCATCTTTCTGGAGTTTCTGGAGGACCTGCCTGAAACCAGAGAGGCTGGGCTGTCCCATGCCAAACACGGTGAGGCCACCCCGCACTTGCCGGAAGTTGGGGGCCCCACAGCTCCGCACAGTGCCCAGTACATCCATCTTCTCAGCAACATCCCGCACCAGGAAGTAGCGTCCCTGGCAGGGGAAGAGCCACAAGGGGTTACTCAGATGCTCGGGGATATCTTCTATCAGTGGAGCTCTGTCCCAGGCACCAGAGGATGGGGAGCAAGAGATGGGGTAGGGGACATGGTCTTCAAGTTGTCTGCAGGCTTTTGGAAAAAAAATATGTGATCATCTGTGGTCCCAAGAAGAGTGTCATTTAGCATGGGAAAGGGAAAAACAACTCCTCCTGATGGGAAATCCGAGAAGGCTTCATGGAGGAGGCAGCATTGGGGGCAGGCCTTGAGGAAAGAAAGTAGGGAGAGGCACTCCAGGGACAGGAAACTGAGGCTGGCTCTAGGGTGGGGCCTGAAGCTCTCCAGGAAGAAGTCAAATGTCTCCCGCAGCCAGAGGAAGGGCTTGGAGCCGGGGCCCAAGCAAGGAGTCACAGCTGGGGCCCCAGGAAACCTGCACTAGTCCCCTCCTGAGGTCCTGAAGCTCTGGGGACGGATGGGGCTCTCCCTTCCCCGGCTGGGGTGATGGATGCAATGAGGGACAGAGTAAAAGGGTGAGAACACAAGGCGCCAGGGGAGTTCATTCCTGGGCACAAAGGAGCTCGGACATCATCTGGCCATGCCCCTCCAATAGGACCCACACATTGCCTGACAGATTCGAAATGGAACCGGTTCTTCCAGACACCAGAAAATCCCAGCTACTCTTTCAACAAACACAGTTTCATCAGCATGATTATCCCTTCGCCAACTATTTACTGAGCACCTACATGGTGCCGGAGTACTGTTCAGGGCCGGGGGCTACTTCAGTGAACAAGAAAAATTAAAGTCATCTGGGCGTGTGGACCTGGCTTTCTAGGGGATATGTGAGGGGAAAACAGCTAAGCCAGAGAAGTTCTGGAGCGTAGAGAACGGGATAGAGATCCCCCCCAGCTGGGGCGCTGACTCTGTTCTCCCTGCTGCCCCGAGGGCGGGGTGTGGGCAGACTGGGGCCAGCAGGGACGTGCCAGAAGAGCCCACCAGGGGGCTCCGCGGGGCAGGGGGCGTGGCCCAGGAAACCAGGGGGAGACAGGAAGTGGGGGAGGAGCCCAGAGGGTGAGGCGTGGACATGACTCCGAAAAGGGGTCAGTGGGGAAAGCAGGAGGGAGGAACCCTGTGAAGGAGGAGGACGGGGGGGGCCGGGCTGCCCTCACCTGCACCAGGTAGTGCTCGGGGGTGGCATCTGAGAGCCGGCCCAGCGTGTAATGGGCCTTGAGCAGCTCCTCATGGATCTGGAACTCCTCCTTACAGTTGTACCTGTCAGGGCAGAATGGAAACTTTCATGATCAAGGTAGCCTCCACCCTCACCAGACTCCACAACAGGGCCACCCCACCTGCGCCCACGCGGCTAACCGTCTATGGCAGAGACAGCCTGCTGTCCCCAATAACCACCCTCCCCTCCTTCCTCAGCAACAGAACCCTGGAATTGTGACTGGGCCATCCGGCTGAGGACTACATTTCCCAGGCTCCCTTGCAGCTAGGATGGTCACGTGATTAAGTTTTGGCCAATGGGATATGAGGAGTGATAGGTGTACAACTTCTGGGCCATTCCCTTAAAGGGAAGGTGGGTGCCTTCTACTTTATCTCCTTATCCCTGGCTAGCATCCGGAAGTGATGGCAAGAAGCAGATGCTGATGATGGTGGGGAAACGAGAGAGGAGGGGCCTGGCGGATCACAGAGCGGCCATTCCAGTTTGGTGCACCTCCCGGACTCTTGTGTAGAGAGAAGCTTCGGTCCTGTTTAAGGCCTCCTATTCGAGGGTTACCTGGGTCCCAGGGGACCCTTCCATCAGATTGTCTCTGAGAACAACACCATGGCACAGTGAGGGGGCTCAGGACAGAGGCTTTGGGTTTGCATGACCTGGGCATGAACCCAACTTCACCACACAGCAACTTTGGGGCTTTGGAGTGACTCACTCTCTCTGTGGTTCCCTTTCCAGTAATTCTCACTTCCTAGGGCCGTTGTGAGATTTCAAGGCACAGCTGAATGGAAGTGCTCAGCCAGGGCCTTGGGCACAGTGTTTATTAATATAATTATTTTTACTAGTCACAGTGCTACCTCCACACGGGGCCATTTCAAACAAAACCCACAGGTATAAAAACAGATTTCTGCAGATGCTAAACCAGGATGGGCCTGTCTGCTCAAGACACAAGAAGCTTCCATGCTGATTATAACAGTGAATAAGACACTTGCACCCTGGTGTCTACTCCTCTTTACAAAAAAACTGCGTCTAGGAAAGGCAGGGCAGTGGAAGGAGTGAGGCAGGGGAGCCTGAAGCGAGGAGTTGAGAGACTTGGGGTCCTGCTCCCAGCTCAGTCTCTATCTCACCACATGGTGGACAAATCCATCTACCGCCGGAAGCTTGGTATTTAGATCCAGTCTTCACATCTGATCTAAAACGTATTCAATCAGGAGTCAGCAAACCTTTTATATCAAGAACTGGACAGTAAATAATTTTGGCTTGAGAGCCATACAGTTTCTGTTGCAACCACAACTCTGCAATTGAAGTGTTAAGCGTCCACAGACAGCATACAAAGGAATAGGAGTGGCGGTGTTCCAATAAAACTTTATTTACAAAAGCAGATGCTAGGTGGGATTCGGTCCACAGGATACAGTTTGCCAAGCCCTGTGTTGGGTGATCTCTAGGGTCCCCTCCCCACAAACATGCTACAGCCCCAGGGTCGCTGCGCTCACGCTCACTCCAGGAGGCAGATCTTTACAGCAGGCTCATGACTGTTCTGAGCCACACCACTTGGTTAAGTATTCTGCACATCATCACCGTGTAATCTGGTAAGAAAAAGAAGACCCAGGGGCGCCTGGGTGGCTCAGTCATTAAGCATCTGTCTTCAGCTCAGGTCATGATCCCCGGGTCCTGGGATCGAGCCCCGCATCGGGCTCCCTGCTCGGCGGGAAGCCTGCTTCTCCCTCTCCCACTCCCCCTGCTTGTGTTCCCTCTCTCGCTGTGTCTCTCTCTGTCAAATAAATAAATAAAATCTTAAAAAAGGAAGAAAGAAAAACAAGACCCAGAGAGGGGAAAGGATTTGCCTGAGGTCACAGAGCAAAGCCCAGGATGTGTGTCTCCGACACTGCCCTCAAGGGCCAAACCTAGATGTGTCATCTCTGGTAGAGAGACAATATCAAGTCTCTTCTCTTCCCCTTATCACGAGCACAGTAATGGATTAGGATTCTACTTTTCCTGTCAGGCCCCAAAGCCAGCAGGCCGATTTATCATTCCCACCCCTCAGGTCTCCTGACACAGAAAGTCCCATCTGCTAGGTCTCTGCCAAACTTCTATGTGTGGCATACAGTCCATTCTTAGCTCACTGTGTCCTATTTCCTGCGTGCTGGAGGGGCCCAGAGGCAGATTCGACGTAAACCAAGGCTTCCTGATTCACCGGGAGACAGAGCCAATGCCTCTCTTGTCTTCCTGGCCTCTGGGTCCCAGCACCCACTCCTTCACTGACCCCACAGGGCAGACAGGGTTGCAAAGCCCCCTTCTGGACCCTCTTCTTCTGGACGCATGTACTGTATCCATGTGTCTCAAAATGCGGTGCCAGAACCCACCCTCAGCCTCCTCCAGGAAAGTCCCTCAAGGACCTAATTAAGAGAGGTGACCAAGAGCTTCCAGCTTTTTCAGCCCACAGCTCTTTTACGACCTGGTATTAACCTCAGTTTCGAACCATAATTACTAGTTGTGAAAAATAAAAAAATCTAAATTTTATGCATCTTAGTATATAAACTCTGTTTGAAAATGTTTGGCCAAAAATGATTTTCAAAAGGGTGTCCCCCCCACCAGCCACTTCTCCTTCTCCATGCTTCCCGGCCCTATGGACATGAGCTAAGAGACCCACAACAGAGACCCACTCAGGCGCTTGCTGTGTTACTCCAGACAAACTGCTTAACCTCTCTGGGCCTCAGGATCTTCATCTATGAAAGCGGTTTGTAGACTCAGTGCTTTATGCCACCACTCCTCCGGGAAGCTGCCCCAACCGTGTCTTCCAGGGACACGGTCACACACACGCACACGCAAGCACGCACCCACCCCGCCACTCACGTGATCACGACGGGGGCCACTTTGTTGGGGATGATGGACTTGGCCTTACTGTTGTGCAAGCCCATGGTCTGGAAGGAGTGGACACTGAGTGAGTGCTGACTGTCCATCGTGCCGCCCCCCTGGAGGCCCTCGAAGGGGGCGCCCGCCGAAACCGCCTGCTGGGCTGTGCTGGCCGTAGTACCCATAGTCCGCTGGCAGCCTCAGGACCCCAAACCTGCGGGATGAGAAGGCATGTAGTGGGGGGAAGGGGTGGGAAAATCCACAGCGGGAAGGGACCTAGCCCAGCTCCACCTCCACCCCCATCGCCCAGATGCCAAGTCTGAGGCCCAGAAAGCGCCAGCTTAGCCTGCAGCGGGAGACAGAGGGCAGGTGTGCCGCCTCCCAATGTTCCCTGAATGCCTACCCTGTGCCTGTCCCTTGGCTTCTGCTTTGGGGGGGGTTACGGACATGAAGAGACATAAAGACACAGCCCCCGAACCCTTACGGTTACACTCCTCTGGCAAAAATATGACTGTTAGGAAGGGGTTAGCCCTCCACACCAGGTCAAGACCTCGGGCTCTAAGTGACTGGGTCAGGCCACATAGAGGCAGGGCCCCCCACACGGACAGAAGTGGGAAGACCTGGGGCAGGTGCAGAAGGAAGTCAAGCTTGGCTCTGAAGAATGTGGGGGGCGGTGGGGCGCATCTGGGTGGCTCAGTTGGTTAAGCAACTGCCTTCGGCTCAGGTTCATGATCCTGGAGTCCCAGGATCAAGTCCCGCATCCGGCTCCCTGCTCAGCAGGGAGTCTGCTTCTCTCTCTGACCCTCCCCCCTCTCATGCTCTCTCTATCTCATTCTCTCTCTCAAATAAATAAATAAAATCTTAAAAAAAAAAGAAGCATCCCACTCGATTTCGGCACAGGTCATGATCTCAGGGTCATGAGATCAAGCCCAGCATCAGGCTCCATGCTCAGCAGGGAGTCTGCTTGAGATTCTCTCTCTTCTCCCTCTGCCTCTGCCCCTGTTCACTGCATGCTCTCTTCTCTCTCTCTCCCTCGCACACATGCGTGCTAAAATAAATAAATAAATAAATCTTTAAAAAGAGAGAGAGAGAGAACGTGGATGGAAACAGGATACAGGAGGTCACTCTAGCCATGAATATCACGAAATGAGGCTGGGGACATCCAAGGGTTCAGTGAAAGCACCAGGCCCCTGAACGTGACATCACCAATCATCAATATCCCCATCAACAGCCAAAGATTCCGCCCCCGACGAGGCAGGCTGGATGCCCTGGTGGACTCAGCAATTCCCCTGGTGGGCTCTCTCCCAGAGAAATACTTAAGGATGTTCGCAAAAACCAGGCTTCTGGGATGTGTTGCTGCCGGAAGTGTTGTTTACAACGGCAAAACACAGGTAACCACCTCCAGCCAACAACAGCGGCTCTGCTGAATAAAGTAGGGGCATCTCTAAGGTCAAGGTTAAATAGCCATTGAAAATATCATACTGATGGATCTGGAAAGACATGGAGGACACAGGGATAGAAGGAGCAGGTTGCAAGGCAAGAACAGGCTACAGTCCCATTTTAGTTCATGAAAGTTTATCAGGAGAAAAGCCTGGGAGATACACATCAAGATGCTAATGTGGGTTATCACCAAGTGATGAGATGAGAGTTCATTTGTGTCTTCTCCTTTTGCTTTTTCTCCTCTGAACACCAGGTAATAAAGTTATACAAATTAACAAATAAGAGAATGTCTGGGAAATGGCCAGAGACGGGTGAGGAGTTGCTGGAGGGTGTGAGGAGCCGTCCCTAGACACAACAACTCCCTCAGCCGCCCTCAGCCCGGGGTCAACTGCTCCACGTGGTGGGAACAATCTGCTCCAGCCACCCCGCCCTCTGGAAACCAGCAGTGGCACCCGGGGAAGTGGGTGGCGGAGGCAGCGGGTCAGCGGGTCAGTGTGAAGGCTGAGCTCACTGAGCCTTCTCTCCCCCAGGCCCTGAGTACTCGTGCTCCCCATCCCCAGAGCCGCCTAGACAGAATGACTAGACTCATCCACCCCTCCTCAAACCTTCCCAAACCACCACCTGTCCCTGTCCCTCTGCGGTCTGGAAAGGGCTCCCTCTCTCCCTCCAGCCCTGCCTTGTCATCCTTGAAAACTCCCAGTAGCCATGTGACAGCTCTGTCAACATGCACACTTGTGTTTATAAGAGCCCCATTGCACCCTGTCCAATTTCTCCCTCCCTCCATCCCTCTCTCCCACTTTCCCTCTCTCTTTGTCTCTGTCAAACATGGATGGAATGAGCCTCTGTTCCTAAACAGAAACACGGGCTGCTCAGAGAACATGAGGGGCTCCAAAGTGGGCCCCAGCCTGCCAACAGCGGAGCCAGAAACTTCTTTCCACTTCCCCTGCTTTGGCAGGCCCCCAACCCAGCTCACCAAAGTTCCCCGGACCCCTCCCAGCAGCCTGGGCCAAGGAGGCATGGATAGGAACAGTCTCCTCCAGGAACAGGGGCACGGGTAACTGTCCCAAATGAGGGCATAAGGGACAGGAAATGGGAAGGGCCTACAGGAGGCAGCAGCTGCCCACAGCTGCCTAGCCAGGCCAGGCCCTGCCCGCTTTGGGCTGAGCTGCGGCCAACACCCCCACAGCTCCAGCTCCAGCCAGCCCCGTGTCTCACAGACTCCACGGGCGACAACAGGCCCCAGCTGGTGCCCTGTCAGGGCAGCCGGGAGATCATACACATGTGCACAGCTGCAGGCTGGAGGGCTGGGGGAGGGACAATATCCTTTGAAAGCTGACTGGCTTCCGAACTGTCTAGAGGAGGGTGAAGCCCCGGGATCTCCAGGCCTCCCACTCTGTAAAACTCCTCCTGAAACCTCTCTCCACCCTGCCTGGAGTGAGCCTCACCAGCCCAGGGGCCTCCCCCTGCTGGCCCTGTGCTGCAGGGCCCCGAGCAACTTCCCCATGTCCCCAGCCCTAAAATCACGCAGTAGGGATGGCGTGGTCCAAAAGCCTCTTCCAGATTCAAACAGATCTGGCTCCTAAGATTGGAGGTCATGCCCCAACTGCCCACTACCAGGGAAGGCGGTCAGCAAGGTGCGGGGGCGGGGGGGGGTGTTAGTGGGGTCCCTAGTGCTCAAACCTCTGCTTGGGGGGAGAATGGGGAGGGCAGGGTGGAATGTAGGCAGACTGAAAGACATGGTCCGTGGAGCCTGGATGGTTTGTAAACAATTATGCTAGTCCAGAACTTTGTCAGATCATGAGTGAAGGCTGTCATCCCCACTGTGCCGCCGAGACTGGGAGGTGGTCGCCATGGAGCTTGTGGGCGGTTTATACCCCACTGCCGCCGTGCTGTTGTCTGGAAACACGGCTTGCACTCATCCCTCCTTTAAAGCCACAGGGACCTGGGGCCCTGCCCACAGGCGCTGGGGTGCTGTGACTGGCCAACTTTGGGCAACTGCGCGCCTGGCGGTCTGAGCCCCCAGGTTCTCACAAGTGACCTTATGAGCGGGTGAATCCCAGGGATTCCAGAATGAAGCCTATCCTCACTGTGCCAAGCGAGCTATAAAGATGCTGCCGTGCCATCTGCAAACTGGGGTTCTCAACACCAGAGACCAAAAGGACAATCACAATCGCTTGGGTGTCTGCCATGTGGACGTGCGCCCATCAAAGGCACACTCCAGCTTAACGTCCCCATCCAAGCTGAGCGACAAGAGCCTTGTCATGGATGTGTCTTTACAAAATAAAAGTTAGCCTTGGCCTACGGTCGACATTTGTTTGGGGGTCGGGATCCGGTCCCTAGCATGTGAAGAGTTTGCCTTTCAGTATTTTCAGAGGCATCAAATAATGACCTCTGAAATGTTGCCAGCATTTATTGAGTCTTCTAATGTCGAAAGAAAGCAAAGCTTAAGTGAAGATCAAGAGAAGAGCCAGAAGCCAAGATCAGGTGAAGGGTTTGAACCAATATCTAAAGGACAGATGAAGAAGCTAATTAAACAGAAACAATGGGAAGAACAACGAGAACTCCGCAAACAAAAGCGGAAGGAAAAACGCAAGAGAAAACAATGAGAGCGACAATGTCAACTGGAATCAAACTCAGATGGAAATGACAGAAAACGTATTCGAAGAGATTGTTCACAGTACACTCCGCCTTATCGACTGCAGTTTTGACAGCTTGATGGTATTAAAGGACATTAAGAAACTTCATAAGCAAAAAAAAAAGAAAGAAAGAAAGAAACTTCATAAGCAGGTTCAGCGATGAGCAATGTTACGCAGAAAATCGACGAGCACTGCATCCCGTGCAGTTTTACTTGACAAGCCATGTAGGTCAGTTGAAAAAGAACATGGATGAAAATGACAAAGGATGGGTCAACTGGAAGGATATCCACATCAAACCAGAGGTTTATAGTGAATTCATAAAGAAAGAAGACCTGAGATATCTAACATCAGACTCACCTAATGTACTGAAATAATTAGATGAATCAAAGGCCTATGTGATTGGAGGGTTAGGTGAGTCCCATCACAAGGGACTCACATATAAACAAGCATCAGATCATGGAATTGATCGTGCACAGCTCCCCCTTAGAAATTTTGTGAAGATGAATAGTAGAAAAGTTTTGGCAATTAATCATGTGTTTGAGATTATTCTGGAATATTTGGAAACCAGAAAAAGGCAAGAAGCATTTTTTACTGTCTTACCCCAACAGAAAGGAGCTGTTCCCACAGACAAAGCCTGTGAAGGTTCTTTGCATAACGAGAAATCTGCCGGGGTTGAAGATGGATTGGACAGTGATTCCAGTGAGGAAGAAAATAGCAAAAATGAACTAGAATCACCACATGAAGAAGAAAAGCAGGATAAAGAAAACAGCAATGAATCTACAGTTAACTCTATATCATACTAATGTCATCTGTCGTTTTTTTGTTTTGTTTTTTGTTTTTTTAGCTTAAGGAAAACTTAAGGAGAAAATGAGGTGCTTCATAGAACATTCTAATTGGGAGAAAATTTTATTTCCTCTTATTTCTGTTGTGAATTTTTAAAACTTTTTTTAGAGCTAAGTGATAAAAAGCCCTTATAAGAAAGTATTTTTGTTTTTGCATAAAATTTAAATGTTTAATTTTTAAAATAATTTTCTAAGTCTCAACAGTTTCTTGAAAATTTTACTTTAGTGGTAAACCTTCATTCTCTTTTATTTACTGGATTATATTTTTTAGAATGTGCCTTCTGACGTTTCAGTTT